TAAAAGGGGCTAGAGCAGTGAGATACTAAAGCAAACTAAAAGCACCTTCTCCCTTCCATCCACTTCTACATCCACCCTCCCCCAAGTGCTCAGAGGAACATGGGAGAGTGGGGGCTATGGGATGAGGCTTTAACAAGGCCAAGGGCCAGGTCTTGCACTTTGGCCACAATAACCCCCTGCAGTGCCATAGGCTTGGGGCAGAGTGGCTAGACGACTGTGAAGAGGAAAGGGACCTGGGAGTGTTGATCGATGCTTGGCTGAACGTGAGCCGGCAGTGTGCTCAGGTGGCCTAAGAATGCCCATGGCATCCCGGCCTGTATTAGAAAAAGTGTAGGGCAGCAGGAGCAGGAGGTGATGGTCTCCCCCTGCACTGTGCTCTGGAGAGGCCGCACCTCGAGTGCTGTGTTCAGTTTTGGGCCCCTCAGTCCAAGAAGGACATCGAGGCCCTGTAACTTGTCCAGAGAAGGGCTACGAAGGGCTGGTGAAGGGCCTGGAAGAAAAGTCCTCTGAGGAGCGGCTGAGGGAGCTGGGGTTGTTTAGTCAGGAGAAGAGGAGGCTCAGGGAGACCTTCGTGCTCTCTCCAACTCCCAGCAATGGAAATTGTGGGAGCTGGGGGTCAGCCTCTTCTTGCAGATAACTAGAGGGAATGGGCTCAAGTTGCGCCGGGGACGTTTAGCTTGAAAACTAGGAGCCATTTCTTCTGAGAAAGAGTAGTGGGTGGGGCCTTGGAAGGGGTTGCCCAGGGGAGTGGTGGAGTCACCAGTCCCTGGAGTGTGTAAGGAAAGCTTGGAGCTGGTGCTTAGCGACATGGTTGCTTAGTGATTTTGGTAGTAGGGTGATGGTTGGAGCAGATGATCTTGAAGGTCTTTTCCAACCCTGCTGATTCGATGATTGCCAGCGCGCTTGCTGCAGCCGCTTGTTGCTGGTGGGGGGCACAGGGCTGCTGCACTGCCTTCCATGGGAGCAGACGTCACCCCAGTGCCCTGCTGGCAGTGCCCACTCCTGCTCTTCTCAGGCTGCCTCGCGCTGCCTGTGCATGGAGGAGCAGCCGCTGTGGGGCCTGTGTGCAGAGCGAGGAGTCCGCTCGGCCCTGGCTCGGAGGGAGGCCAGCGTCCCCAGCGCTGGGGAGGGGAGAGGATGGAGAGGAGCTGCTCCCCTGCCACTGGCAGCTACCTTGACAGTTCTCGGGAGCTTTCTGCCCTGTCTCTCCATAGGTGGTCTGCTCTCTCAAGGAGCTTCAATGAGTACTGGCCAGTACTCATTGGGCGGCACGAAACCTCAGCACGCAGGGACGCGAGGCATTTCTGAGGCAAGAGTGAGCTAAAACCTGCTGTTCCCTTTCAGGAAAAGCTTCAGCAACAGCTCGCCCAAGTTAAAGAAACTTGACGCAAGGACTGATGGCGGGGAGTGACCGTTCTCGCCAGAGCTCCTCCAATAACGTGTACTTGGTCACGAAAGAGAAAGCCAGCCTACCGCAGGCCTCAAAAACCAGCTGGCCCACCTTCCCACAAAAGCAGAAGAAACTTTCTCCACTCTGGCCAGTACAGAAGGCTGAAAGTGACTCCCTCCAGCGTTGAGTTGGCAGGGAAAATGCCAAGCTCCCTGGCAGCATCCATCCTGTGAGCGAGTCCGAGAGGAAGTCACCCATCCCCGCAGACGGTGGTATTCAAAGCTGCCTCAGAAGATCAGGTGGCTAGAGAAAGCTAGAAGATTGAAGAGGTGGCTCGGGTTGTGGTGTGGCAAGTGGGGAAGCTGGAAGAAATGAAACCGAGGGAATGCTCCCCTTGAGGGAGCATTCTCACAGGCTTCCCTTGACAAGGTCTCCCCATGGGATCCAAGAAAGACCATGTGCAAGTGCCGAAAGCGCAGAGCCTTCAGAGGCATCTCCTCTTGACAAAGAGCAGCAAATTGCACTGCTGGCTAAGAAGGTTGTGGCGAGTGTGATGAACGTCTTTGAGAAGTCGTGCGAACCTGGCACGCCCAGTGCATGTGAGCCAAGGCCAGAAGGCAGCCAGAAGGAGCAACCCTTGGCCAGGAGAGCGTCCCAAGTGGGGAAGCCAATAGAAAAGAACCGAGGAAAAGAAACCTGTGAGAATGCTCCCTAGAGGGAGCATTCCCTCTTCGGCTCTGAGCAAGGTGCCCCCATGGCAGGTTCTTCTGCCCCCACAGGGAAATCCCAGACCCAGCTGTGAGCATTCTCACAGGCTTCCCTTGACAACGTCACCAAAGGAGCTCTTGGAATTGTCTGTGACACTTTGGAATCGTTCGTGGCTTCCTGGTTTGAGCAAGACTTCAGCTGCGAATATTCTGAAATCTTGGCACTTCCCAATGTCGATCCCTCTAACAGGCAGAGCTCTCAGTCTGCAACCGCATGAAAGCTGAATTAGAGCTTGGCAAGGCATGTCAGCCAGCAGCCTGTCCCAAGCAGTTGGAAGGAGAGCTGTCCCTCGGAGCACTCCGAGCTCCTTCTCGCTGACGAGGCGGCAGAGGAAGACCTGACTCCTCCTGCAGCAGCTTCGGTGCTGCAGACGAACACCCGGCGGCCGCCGCCCTCCTCTGCACCCTCCCCTGCCTGCCGGCCCCGGCCCCGGCCCCGGCCCCGGGCCCCGGAGCGGGCCCCGCGGCAGCCCCGCCGCCTGCCCCGGCTCCGCGGAGGAAGAGGCGTAGCCCCGGCCGCCGCCTTTCAGTTGCGGCCTCCCCGCGCAGCCGCAGCCCGAGCCGCCGGCCCGGAGCGCTGGCCGAGGCCCGCCGCGCTGCCATGGCGCCGAGGCGGTGCCGGGGCCTGGCTGCGGCGGGCTCCCTGCTGCTCTGCGCCCTGCTCCGCGCCGCCGCCGACAGCAGCACGGCCGAGTGGGTGTCAGGGCGCGGGGAGAGCATTCTCACAGGCATCCCTTGACAGGTCACAAAGGAGTTGTTGAAGTGTCTGCGACACTTTGGAATCCTTTGTGGCTTCCTGGTTTGAGCAAGACTTCAGCTGCGAATATTCTGAAATCTTGGCACTTCCCACTGTCGAATCCCTCTAACAGGCAGAGCTCTCAGTCTGCAACTGCATGAAAGCTGAATTAGAGCTTGGCAAGGCATGTCAGCCAGCAGCCTGTCCCAAGCAGTTGGAAGGAGAGCTGTCCCTCGGAGCACCTCCGAAGATCAGCCGACCTCCTCCAAGCTGTGCATAGGGAAATGAAAGCAAAGGCCTTAGATGCTGCTTCAAACAGCAAAACCGTGGCAAGTGGGATGACGCAGGCAGAGCTCTCAGTCTGCAACTGCATGAAAGCTGAATTAGAGCTTGGCAAGGCATGTCAGCCAGCAGCCTGTCCCAAGCAGTTGGAAGGAGAGCTGTCCCTCGGAGCACCTCCGAAGATCAGCCGACCTCCTCCAAGCTGTGCGGCAAGGCTCTGAGCTCCGATCCCATTGAAGCCTCAGTAGCCTGAGGCGGAAGCAGAAAATAAAGAGCTTACATCCAAGTGCTTGCTTGTGCCTCCATTTCTCAAGCCAGGCCGTGCTGTGCTTGGGGATTTTCCCTACAACCGTGTGGTGGTGTCACCCAGCTGGGCAGCTGAACTCCAGCACGAGCACTCTCTCGCTCGCCCTCCTCAAGCAGAAAAGGGGGAGAAAATAGGATAAAACGGGCTGCAGGGTTGCGATAAGGACAGGGAGGCCACTCACCAATTAGCATCACGGGCAAAACCCGCTCAGCCTAGGGAGATTAATATAATTCATTACCTATTAAAAGGGGCTAGAGCAGGTGAGATACTAAAAGCAAACTAAAAGCACCTTCTCCCTTCCATCCACTTCTACATCCACCTCCCCCCAAGTGGCTCAGAGGAACATGGGAGTGGGGGCTATGGATGAGGCTTAACAAGGCCAAGGGCCAGGTCTTGCACTTTGGCCACAATACCCCCTGCAGTGCCATAGGCCTTGGGGCAGAGTGGCTAGACGACTGTGAAGAGGAAAGGGACCTGGGAGTGTTGATCGATGCTTGGCTGAATGTGAGCCGGCAGTGTGCTCAGGTGGCCAAGAAGGCCCATGGCATCCCGGCCTGTATTAGAAAAAGTGTAGGCAGCAGGAGCAGGGAGGTGATGGTCTCCCCCTGCACTGTGCTCTGGAGAGGCCGCACCTCGAGTGCTGTGTTCAGTTTTGGGCCCCTCAGTCCAAGAAGGACATCGAGGCCCTGGAACTTGTCCAGAGAAGGGCTACGAAGGGCTGGTGAAGGGCCTGGAAGAAAAGTCCTCTGAGGAGCGGCTGAGGGAGCTGGGGTTGTTTAGTCAGGAGAAGAGGAGGCTCAGGGGAGACCTTCGTGCTCTCTCCAACTCCCAGCAAGGAAATTGTGGGGAGCTGGGGGTCAGCCTCTTCTTGCAGATAACTAGAGGGAATGGGCTCAAGTTGCGCCGGGGACGTTTAGCTTGAAACTAGGAGCCATTTCTTCTGAGAAAGAGTAGTGGGTGGGGCCTTGGAAGGGGTTGCCCAGGGGAGTGGTGGAGTCACAGTCCCTGGGAGTGTGTAAGGAAGCTTGGAGCTGGTGCTTAGCGACATGGTGCTTAGTGATTTGGTAGTAGGGTGATGGTTGGAGCAGATGATCTTGAAGGTCTTTTCCAACCCTGCTGATTCGATGATTGCCAGCGCGCTTGCTGCAGCCGCTTGTTGCTGGTGGGGGGCACAGGGCTGCTGCGCTGCCTTCCATGGGAGCAGACGTCACCCCAGCGCCCTGCTGGCAGTGCCCACTCCTGCTCTTCTCAGGCTGCCCTCGCGCTGCCTGTGCATGGAGGAGGCAGCCGCTGTGGGGCCTGGTGCAGAGCGAGGAGTCCGCTCGGCCCTGGCTCGGAGGGAGGCAACGTCCCCAGCGCTGGGAGGGGAGAGGATGGAGAGGAGCTGCTTCCCTGCCACTGGCAGCTACCTCGACAGTTCTCGGGAGCTTTCTGCCCTTGTCTCTCCATAGGTGGTCTGCTCTCTCAAGGAGTTCAATGAGTACTGGCAGTACTCATTGGGCGGCACGAAACCTCAGCACGCAGGGACGCGAGGCATTTCTGAGGCAAGAGTGAGCTAAAACCTGCTGTTCCCTTTCAGGAAAAGCTTCAGCAACAGCTCGCCAAGTTAAAGAAACTTGACGCAAGACTGATGGCGGGGAGTGACCGTTCTCGCCAGAGCTCCTCCAATAACGTGTACTTGGTCACGAAAGAGAAAGCCAGCCTACCGCAGCCTCAAAAACCAGCTGGCCCACCTTCCCACAAAAGCAGAAGAAACTTTCTCCACTCTGGCCAGTACAGAAGGCTGAAAGTGACTCCCTCCAGCGTTGAGTTGGGCAGGGAAAATGCCAAGCTCCCTGGCAGCATCCATCCTGTGAGCGAGTCCGAGAGGAAGTCACCCATCCCCGCAGACGGTGTATTCAAAGCTGCCTCAGAAGATCAGGTGGCTAGAGAAAGCTAGAAGATTGAAGAGGTGGCTCGGGTTGTGGTGTGGCAAGTGGGGAAGCTGGAAGAAATGAAACCGAGGGAATGCTCCCCTTGAGGGAGCATTCTCACAGGCTTCCCTTGACAAGGTCTCCCCATGGGATCCAAGAAAGACCATGTGCAAGTGCCGAAAGCGCAGAGCCTTCAGAGGCATCTCCTCTTGACAAAGAGCAGCAAATTGCACTGCTGGCTAAGAAGGTTGTGGCGAGTGTGATGAACGTCTTTGAGAAGTCGTGCGAACCTGGCACGCCCAGTGCATGTGAGCCAAGGCCAGAAGGCAGCCAGAAGGAGCAACCCTTGGCCAGGAGAGCGTCCCAAGTGGGGAAGCCAATAGAAAAGAAACCGAGGAAAAGAAACCTGTGAGAATGCTCCCTAGAGGGAGCATTCCCTCTTCGGCTCTGAGCAAGGTGCCCCCATGGCAGGTTCTTCTGCCCCCACAGGGAAATCCCAGACCCAGCTGTGAGCATTCTCACAGGCTTCCCTTGACAACGTCACCAAAGGAGCTCTTGGAATTGTCTGTGACACTTTGGAATCGTTCGTGGCTTCCTGGTTTGAGCAAGACTTCAGCTGCGAATATTCTGAAATCTTGGCACTTCCCAATGTCGATCCCTCTAACAGGCAGAGCTCTCAGTCTGCAACCGCATGAAAGCTGAATTAGAGCTTGGCAAGGCATGTCAGCCAGCAGCCTGTCCCAAGCAGTTGGAAGGAGAGCTGTCCCTCGGAGCACCTCCGAGCTCCTTCTCGCTGACGAGGCGGCAGAGGAAGACCTGACTCCTCCTGCAGCAGCTTCGGTGCTGCAGACGAACACCCGGCGGCCGCCGCCTCCTCTGCACCCTCCCCTGCCTGCCGGCCCCGGCCCCGGCCCCGGCCCCGGGCCCCGGAGCGGGCCCCGCGGCAGCCCCGCCGCCTGCCCCGGCTCCGCGGAGGAAGAGGCGTAGCCCCGGCCGCCGCCTTTCAGTTGCGGCCTCCCCGCGCAGCCGCAGCCCGAGCCGCCGGCCCGGAGCGCTGGCCGGAGGCCCGCCGCGCTGCCATGGCGCCGAGGCGGTGCCGGGGCCTGGCTGCGGCGGGCTCCCTGCTGCTCTGCGCCCTGCTCCGCGCCGCCGCCGACAGCAGCACGGGCCGAGTGGGTGTCAGGGCGCGGGGAGAGCATTCTCACAGGCATCCCTTGACAAGGTCACCAAAGGAGTTGTTGAAGTGTCTGCGACACTTTGGAATCCTTTGTGGCTTCCTGGTTTGAGCAAGACTTCAGCTGCGAATATTCTGAAATCTTGGCACTTCCCACTGTCGATCCCTCTAACAGGCAGAGCTCTCAGTCTGCAACTGCATGAAAGCTGAATTAGAGCTTGGCAAGGCATGTCAGCCAGCAGCCTGTCCCAAGCAGTTGGAAGGAGAGCTGTCCCTCGGAGCACCTCCGAAGATCAGCCGACCTCCTCCAAGCTGTGCAGAGGGAAATGAAAGCAAAGGCCTTAGATGCTGCTTCAAACAGCAAAACCGTGGCAAGTGGGATGACGCAGGCAGAGCTCTCAGTCTGCAACTGCATGAAAGCTGAATTAGAGCTTGGCAAGGCATGTCAGCCAGCAGCCTGTCCCAAGCAGTTGGAAGGAGAGCTGTCCCTCGGAGCACCTCCGAAGATCAGCCGACCTCCTCCAAGCTGTGCGGCAAGGCTCTGAGCTCCGATCCCATTGAAGCCTCAGTAGCCTGAGGCGGAAGCAGAAAATAAAGAGCTTACATCCAAGTGCTTGCTTGTGCCTCCATTTCTTCAAGCCAGGCCGTGCTGTGCTTGGGGATTTTCCCTACACCGTGTGGTGGTGTCACCCAGCTGGGCAGCTGAACTCCAGCACGAGCACTCTCTCGCTCGCCCTCCTCAAGCAGAAAGGGGGAGAAAATAGGATAAAACGGGCTGCAGGGTTGCGATAAGGACAGGGAGGCCACTCACCAATTAGCATCACGGGCAAAACCCGCTCAGCCTAGGGAGATTAATATAATTCATTACCTATTAAAAGGGGCTAGAGCAGTGAGATACTAAAAGCAAACTAAAAGCACCTTCTCCCTTCCATCCACTTCTACATCCACCCTCCCCCCAAGTGGCTCAGAGGAACATGGGAGTGGGGGCTATGGGATGAGGTCTAACAAGGCCAAGGGCCAGGTCTTGCACTTTGGCCACAATAACCCCCTGCAGTGCCATAGGCTTGGGGCAGATTGGCTAGAAGCCTAGCAGAAGCAAGGAAGATAAGGGATAAAAGGTAAAAACAAGAAGGAGAAAGACAGCTCCAGGCTGACCTACAGTAGCCTTTTGCTCATTAAAGGTCATTAACATATTAAAAATCACACTCATCAAAATGCTAAGGTATGGTAATGTGGGATTTGATGTCACCCAAAACTCACTCTGCGCTTTCTCTCTCTCCACACAGTAACAACACTAACCCTAACCGTAACTGGGACCATAACAGAACTGTACGTCGCCAATTTCTCCCATCAAAAGAGCTCACAAAGGAAGTCTTTAGTTGGACCTGAGCTCCCTTATCAACCCTTTAAGCAATCCCAGACACAACAGGACTCGGTGCTTTCTCCCTCTCCAAACACCAACAGCCCTAACCCTTACCCTAATTAATAATCCAGGCTCGGCTGCAGTGGCTTGCCCACCAGCGTGACCAGAAGCGCCTGCAGGTAGCCAGAGCATACGTCATAGGTGGTGCCATGGCAACGCGATGATGTAACAGGTAGCCAGGGCATACGTCATAGGTGGTGCCATGGCAACGTGATGATGTACAGGTAGCCAGGGCATACGTCATAGGTGGTGCCATGGCAATGCGATGATGTAACAATGCTTGAGCGCTATATAAAGGCGCTCGCTGGGAAACCGCCTGGGACAGACGCAGCTGTCTGCCTCTGGAGTGAGAGGTGCTAGCAGAGGGTCGCAGCTCCCGTAGAGCTCTTGGAAGGAGCCATGGAGCAGCATGGCACTGCTAGTTCCCAAAACCCAGACGCACTGCTGGGCATAGCTGAGAAGTACGGAGAGGTGAGCGCTGTGCCCGAGGAGAGGGCTCAGAGCAGGAGCCCGGGGCGTGCGGGAGTGCTCTGGTGCCAGAGGATGCTCCCAGGAAGCTGGGGGGGGTCTAAACGTGGTCAGGCCACAGGAGGCTTGCAGGGAGACGTGCCTCTCTCTGCCCATCCCGGGCAGCGTACTGCTAGCAAGTGGGAAGAGAGCTGCAGGGGGGTGCAGGGGTGGGCTGCAGAAGGGATTGGAGTGCCTGAGTGTCTGAGTGTCCCTGTCTTTCTAGCTCTGGCACAGATGGGGACTTGGAGAAGGAGGTAGCGGGCTGCTGGACCTCCCACTCGGAGTCAAAATCCCTCTGCTGCCAGGCACCAAGCCTGTCTTCTACAGAACAAAGCTGGGGGAAAAGGTAAGAGAAGGAGGAAGGGGTGGAAGGGGTGGCAAAGGTCTCTTGTGTCACGGGCTCCCTCCCCATCGTTCCAAGAAGGCCTTGGGGCCACCTGCGCAATGGTTGGAGCTCCAGCACTTTGGTCCAAGCGGGTGGAGGAGTCAGGGACAGATGCTCGCGGCTCCGCAGCACAGAGACATTTCTAGCCGGTGGCCCAAGATGCCTACTTTGCTGGTGGGGTTTGGCCTTCTCTCCCCAGCCCAGGCCGGACCCTCAGCCCAGGCCTGGTGGGGGTGTTTTTGATGGCTTCAGAAGGAAGGTCCAGCCGGGAAGTAAGCCCAGAATCAGAAACCTCTAGCGCAGAGGTTGGCAAAGGCTAGCCCGTGTGCATGAGGAGCTTGGAAGTGCCTTTGTCTCTGTGCTGCTTTCTCCTGCCCCATTCATACTCTGGACCACCTCTCTTGCAGCTGCACCAGCCTTCCGCTCAGTTTCATCTGGAAGATCCATATTGTCGCCTACTGCGCACAGAGTACAACTGCCTGCACGACCCGCATCTGCAGGCCTACTACAATCACAAAGACAGCCTGCAGAGCCTGAAGAGCAAGGGCTTCATCACCAGCAGCGGCAAAGTAGGTTTGGACGTTGCGCTGACCAGCACAGGTCTCCTCTGGCAGAGGCCAATGGGATGAGGTTTAACACGGCTCAGTGCCAGTTCCTGCACTTTTGCCACAACAACCCCGTGCAGCGCTAAAGGCTTGGGGCAGAGTGGCTCAAAAACTGTGCCGAGGAAAAGGATCTGGGGGTGCTGATTGATGCTTGCCTCAACATGAGCCGGCAGCGTGCCCAGGTGGCCAAGAAGGCCAACAGCATCCTGGCTTGTCTCAGGAATAGCGTAGCCAGCAGGAGCAGGGAGGTGATGGTCTCCCCCTGCACTGTGCTCTGGAGAGGCCGCACCTCGAGTGCTGTGTTCAGTTTTGGCCCCTCAGTCCAAGAAGGACATCGAGGCCCTGGAACTTGTCCGGAGAAGGGCTACGAAGGGCTGGTGAAGGGCCTGGAAGAAAAGTCCTCTGAGGAGCGGCTGAGGGAGCTGGGGTTGTTTAGTCAGGAGAAGAGGAGGCTCAGGGGAGACCTTCGTGCTCTCTCCAACTCCCAGCAAGGAAATTGTGGGGAGCTGGGGGTCAGCCTCTTCTTGCAGATAACTAGAGGGAATGGGCTCAAGTTGTGCCGGGGACGTTTAGCTTGAAAACTAGGAGCCATTTCTTCTGAGAAAGAGTAGTGGTGGGGCCTTGGAAGGGGTTGCCCAGGGGAGTGGCGGAGTCACCGTCCCTGGGGGTGTTTAAGGAAAGCTTGGAGACATGGTGCTTAGCGACATTGGTAGTAGGGTGATGGTTGGAGCAGATGATCTTGAAGGTCTTTTCCAACCCTAGCTGATTCGATGATTGCCAGCGCGCTTGCTGCAGCCGCTTGTTGCTGGTGGGGGGCACAGGGCTGCTGCGCTGCCTTCCATGGGAGCAGACGTCACCCCAGTGCCCTGCTGGCAGTGCCCACTCCTGCTCTTCTCAGGCTGCCTCGCGCTGCCTGTGCATGGAGGAGGCAGCCGCTGTGGGGCCTGGTGCAGAGCGAGGAGTCCGCTCGGCCCTGGCTCGGAGGGAGGCAGCGTCCCCAGCGCTGGGGAGGGGAGAGGATGGAGAGGAGCTGCTCCCCTGCCACTGGCAGCTACCTCGACAGTTCTCGGGAGCTTTCTGCCCTTGTCTCTCCATAGGTGGTCTGCTCTCTCAAGGAGTTCAATGAGTACAGGCAGTATTTGACCACGCTCAAGCTGGAAGCGGAGAAAATCAAGAGGCAAGAAGAGGTAGGCAAAGCTCAGCAGACACATGTCAGTGGCACGGTACAGAAGGCTGGGGCTTTCCTTGTGGATCTGAGGGAGGTGGGGAATACAGAAAATGTGCTGGAGGGCCAGGTGTTGTGGTAGGGAAAGGATGACCCAGCCCCAAGCTCAGCTAGCGCAAGCTACTGGAGGGGGGGTGAGGTGTGTGTGTGTGTGTGTGTAGGGGGGGTGGATCAGGAAAGCTACTTGCAAGCATACAGAGCCCTGAGGGAAGCCCTTCTCTTCAGCCCTCGTTGCGTGGCAGAAGCAGGGCACTGGCATGGGTGGCATGAAACCTCAGCACGCAGGGACACGAGTCATTTCTGAGGCAAGAGTGATCTAGAACCTGCTGTTCCATTTCAGGAAAAGCTTCAGCAACAGCTCGCCAAGTTAAAGAAACTTGACGCAAGACTGATGGCGGGGAGCGACCGTTCTCGCCAGAGCTCCTCCAGTAATGTGTACTTGGTCTCGAAAGGGAAAGCCAGCCTACTGCAGCCTCAAAAACCACTGGCCCACCTTCCCACAAAAGCAGAAGAAACTTTCCCCAATCTGGCCAGTACAGAAGGCTGAAAGTGACTCCCTCCAGCGTTGAGTTGGGCAGGGAAGATGCCAAGCTCCCTGAGAGCATCCGTGCTGTTACTGAGTCCGAGAGAGAGTCACCCGTCCCCGCAGACGGTGTATTCAAAGCTGCCTCGGAAGAACAGGCTGCTAGAGAAAGCCAGAGGATTGAAGAGGTGGCTCGGGCAGTGGTGCGGCAAGTGTTTGAGAGGGTGCAGGCACTGGACCAGTCTGTCTGCGTCTTGAAGAGGTCTCCCCATGGGATCCAAGAAAGACCGTGTGCAAGTGCCGAAAGCGAGATGCCTTCAGAGGCATCTCCTCTTGACAAAGAGCAGCAAATTGCACTGCTGTCTAAGAAGGTTGTGGCGAGCGTGATGAAGGCCGTTGAGAAGTTCTGGGAATCCGGCACGCCCAGTGCATCTGAGCCAAGGCCAGAAGCCAGCCAGAAGGAGCAGCCCTTGGCCAGGAGAGCGTCCCACGTGGGGAAGCCAGAAGAAAAGAAAACCAAGGGAAGCCCTTGAGGGAGCATTCTCACAGGCTTCCCTTGACAAGGTCACCAAAGAAGCTGTTGGAAGTGTCTGCGACACTTTGGAATCCTTCGTGGCTTCCCGGGTTGAGCAAGACTTCAACTGCAAGTATTCTGAAATCGTGGCGCTTCCCACTGTTGATGCCTCCAACAGGCAGCCACAGCCATCCCAGGGGCCTCTCTCACGGGAGGGCATGAGGGAAGGGCAGGGACTACAAACAGCATCAGAAGAGCAGAGCCCAGAAGCAAGGCCGGGAGAAACGTTGCCCATGATCCCACCAGTGCCAGACACTGATGAGGTCTCACGCCTGAGTTGCAGGAGTGTGAGGGAGAGCATCCAAAAGGCTGCCTCCGAAGTTCAGCGTCTGCACACAGAACTGCAGGCCTATGCCAGAACCATTGTCCTTAATGTGATTGAAGAAGTGAAGGACAAGATGGAGAGGGAAATGAAAGCAAAGGCCTTAGACGGCCGTTTCAAGCAGCAAAACTGTGGCAAGCGGGATGACGCGCTGCTTATCGGAGCAGAGCTCTCAGTCTGTGACTGCACGGAAGCTGGAGAAGAACTTGGGAAGGCGTGTCAGCAAACAGTCTGTGCCAAGCAATGGGAAGGAGAGCCGTCCCTCGGAGCACCTCCGAAGAGGCTCTGAGCAAGGTGCTCCCATGGCAGGCTCTTCTGCCCCCACAGGGGAATCCAGACCCAGCTGAGGTCCAAGAGCACCACAGGCACCATCCCTCCCACGGGCCCACAGTTTCTCAGGCAGCCGGCTCCTCCATCTGTTCCGAAGCAGCCTGCCCAGAGCGGAGCACGGAGGATACGCGTGCGTGTCAGACCGATCCCATTGAAGCCTCAGTAGCCTGAGCGGAAGCAGAAAATAAAGAGCTTACATCCAAGTGCTTGCTTGTGCCTCCATTTCTTCAAGCCAGGCCGTGCTGTGCTTGGGGATTTTCCCTACACCGTGTGGTGGTGTCACCCAGCTGGGCAGCTGAACTCCAGCACGAGCACTCTCTCTCGCTCGCCCTCCTCAAGCAGAAAGGGGGAGAAGATAGGATAAAACGGGCTGCAGGGTTGCAATAAGGACAGGGAGACCACTCACCCATTAGCATCACGGGCAAAACACCTAGCATAGGGAGATTAATATAATTAATACCTATTGAAAGGGCTAGAGCAGTGAGATACTAAAAGCAAACTAAAAGCACCTTCTCCCTTCCACCCACTTCTACATCCACCCTCCCCCCAAGTGGCTCAGAGGAACATGGGAGTGGGGGCTATGGGATGAGGCTTAACAAGGCCAAGGGCCAGGTCTTGCACTTTGGCCACAATAACCCCCTGCAGTGCCATAGGCTTGGGGCAGAGTGGCTAGACGACTGTGAAGAGGAAAGGGACCTGGGAGTGTTGATCGATGCTTGGCTGAACGTGAGCCGGCAGTGTGCTCAGGTGGCCAAGAAGGCCCATGGCATCCCGGCCTGTATTAGAAAAAGTGTAGGCAGCAGGAGCAGGGAGGTGATGGTCTCCCCCTGCACTGTGCTCTGGAGAGGCCGCACCTCGAGTGCTGTGTTCAGTTTTGGGCCCCTCAGTCCAAGAAGGACATCGAGGCCCTGGAACTTGTCCGGAGAAGGGCTACGAAGGGCTGGTGAAGGGCCTGGAAGAAAAGTCCTCTGGGGAGCGGCTGAGGGAGCTGGGGTTGTTTAGTCAGGAGAAGAGGAGGCTCAGGGGAGACCTTCGTGCTCTCTCCAACTCCCAGCAAGGAAATTGTGGGAGCTGGGGGTCAGCCTCTTCTTGCAGATAACTAGAGGGAATGGGCTCAAGTTGTGCCGGGGACGTTTAGCTTGAAAACTAGGAGCCATTTCTTCTGAGAAAGAGTAGTGGGGCCTTGGAAGGGTTGCCCAGGGGAGTGGCGGAGTCACCGTCCCTGGGGGTGTGTAAGGAAAGCTTGGAGCTGGTGCTTAGCGACATGGTGCTTAGTGACATTGGTAGTAGGGTGATGGTTGGAGCAGATGATCTTGAAGGTCTTTTCCAACCCTGCTGATTCGATGATTGCCAGCGCGCTTGCTGCAGGCCGCTTGTTGCTGGTGGGGGGCACAGGGCTGCTGCGCTGCCTTCCATGGGAGCAGACGTCACCCCAGCGCCCTGCTGGCAGTGCCCACTCCTGCTCTTCTCAGGCTGCCTCGCGCTGCCTGTGCATGGAGGAGGCAGCCGCTGTGGGCCTGGTGCAGAGCAAGGAGTCCGCTCGGCCCTGGCTCGGAGGGAGGCAGCGTCCCCAGCGCTGGGGAGGGGAGAGGATGGAGAGGAGCTGCTCCCCTGCCACTGGCAGCTACCTTGACAGTTCTCGGGAGCTTTCTGCCCTTGTCTCTCCATAGGTGGTCTGCTCTCTCAAGGAGTTCAATGAGTACTGGCAGTACTCATTGGGCGGCACGAAACCTCAGCATGCAGGGACGCGAGGCATTTCTGAGGCAAGAGTGAGCTAAAACCTGCTGTTCCCTTTCAGGAAAAGCTTCAGCAACAGCTCGCCAAGTTAACGAAACTTGACGCAAGACTGATGGCGGGGAGTGACCGTTCTCGCCAGAGCTCCTCCAATAACGTGTACTTGGTCACGAAAGAGAAAGCCAGCCTACCGCAGCCTCAAAAACCAGCTGGCCCACCTTCCCACAAAAGCAGAAGAAACTTTCTCCACTCTGGCCAGTACAGAAGGCTGAAAGTGACTCCCTCCAGCGTTGAGTTGGGCAGGGAAAATGCCAAGCTCCCTGGCAGCATCCATCCTGTGAGCGAGTCCGAGAGGAAGACACCCATCCCCGCAGACGGTGTATTCAAAGCTGCCTCAGAAGATCAGGTGGCTAGAGAAAGCTAGAAGATTGAAGAGGTGGCTCGGGTTGTGGTGTGGCAAGTGGGGAAGCTGGAAGAAATGAAACCGAGGGAAGCCCTTGAGGAGCATTCTCACAGGCTTCCCTTGACAAGGTCTCCCCATGGGATCCAAGAAAGACCATGTGCAAGTGCCGAAAGCGCAGAGCCTTCAGAGGCATCTCCTCTTGACAAAGAGCAGCAAATTGCACTGCTGGCTAAGAAGGTTGTGGCGAGTGTGATGAACGTCTTTGAGAAGTCGTGCGAACCTGGCACGCCCAGTGCATGTGAGCCAAGGCCAGAAGGCAGCCAGAAGGAGCAACCCTTGGCCAGGAGAGCGTCCCAAGTGGGGAAGCCAATAGAAAAGAAACCGAGGAAAAGAAACCTGTGAGAATGCTCCCTAGAGGGAGCATTCCCTCTTCGGCTCTGAGCAAGGTGCCCCCATGGCAGGTTCTTCTGCCCCCACAGAGAAATCCCAGACCCAGCTGTGAGCATTCTCACAGGCTTCCCTTGACAACGTCACCAAAGGAGCTCTTGGAATTGTCTGTGACACTTTGGAATCGTTCATGGCTTCCTGGTTTGAGCAAGACTTCAGCTGCGAATATTCTGAAATCTTGGCACTTCCCAATGTCGATCCCTCTAATAGGCAGAGCTCTCAGTCTGCAACCGCATGAAAGCTGAATTAGAGCTTGGCAAGGCATGTCAGCCAGCAGCCTGTCCCAAGCAGTTGGAAGGAGAGCTGTCCCTCGGAGCACCTCCGAAGATCAGCCGACCTCCTCCAAGCTGTGCAGAGGGAAATGAAAGCAAAGGCCTTAGATGCTGCTTCAAACAGCAAAACCGTGGCAAGTGGGATGACGCAGGCAGAGCTCTCAGTCTGCAACTGCATGAAAGCTGAATTAGAGCTTGGCAAGGCATGTCAGCCAGCAGCCTGTCCCAAGCAGTTGGAAGGAGAGCTGTCCCTCGGAGCACCTCCGAAGATCAGCCGACCTCCTCCAAGCTGTGCGGCAAGGCTCTGAGCTCCGATCCCATTGAAGCCTCAGTAGCCTGAGGCGGAAGCAGAAAATAAAGAGCTTACATCCAAGTGCTTGCTTGTGCCTCCATTTCTTCAAGCCAGGCCGTGCTGTGCTTGGGGATTTTCCCTACACCGTGTGGTGGTGTCACCCAGCTGGGCAGCTGAACTCCAGCACGAGCACTCTCTCGCTCGCCCTCCTCAAGCAGAAAGGGGGAGAAAATAGGATAAAACGGGCTGCAGGGTTGCGATAAGGACAGGGAGGCCACTCACCAATTAGCATCACGGGCAAAACCCGCTCAGCCTAGGGAGATTAATATAATTCATTACCTATTAAAAGGGGCTAGAGCAGTGAGATACTAAAAGCAAACTAAAAGCACCTTCTCCCTTCCACCCACTTCTACATCCACCCTCCCCCCAAGTGGCTCAGAGGAACATGGGAGTGGGGGCTATGGGATGAGGCTTAACAAGGCCAAGGGCCAGGTCTTGCACTTTGGCCACAATAACCCCCTGCAGTGCCATAGGCTTGGGGCAGAGTGGCTAGACGACTGTGAAGAGGAAAGGGACCTGGGAGTG